AAGTATGTCAGCTATCCAGTGGGTGCGGTGATGGTGCAGAAGGCGATTTAGCTCTATAAATTGGGAGGTAGCAGTGGAGACTTTACTGCATGGTAAATATCTAGGTTGGATCTTGCTCCTATTTGCAAGGCACTGATTTCGCTGTGCAGGCTTCATTACTTCTGCAATGGAGCTACCTCCAACCCTACTTTCAAAGAGTCTTAAGAGGAATGCTGCTTAAATAGAAGCCATTTGTGCTGGCACCTGGGCCACAGCTTATTAATGAGAGTTTCCTATGGTAGGAGAAGTGGACCGAAAACTAGCTTCACCAAGAGCCAATTCCTTCTGTTTTATGAAGTCCTTTCATCCTTCAGTGCCTGTGCTTGACTCTCATTAAGGCTAATGGAAACGGATTGAGCGTATGGGCAGGGGAATTGGTCTGTCTGGTGATAATGCCGGGCAAAAAGTACAAAGTGGGGGAGATGTAGTGTTAGGCTGCAGGTAAGCGTGAGCTAGTGGGACTGAAATATTTAGTAGAGCAGTTTGGTACAGCAGAAAAAGCTTAAGGTTTGGTTCAGACTGTGAAGGAAATAGAAAGGTAGACAGTGATTCCCAAAGTGGGCGCTACTGCCCCCTGGTGGGCGCTGCAGCGATCCAGGGGGGCGGTGATGGTCACAGGTGCATTTGGGGCGTGGTGAAAGCATAAAAGAAAGAAGAGAAGATTTAGAAAAATTGATTTATGTATTCCGCTCAAGTGCAAACACAGAAGAATCTCCACAGTTACAAGAAGAACCGATGGAAGTAACTGCAATTGATGAATTGAAATTGAAATTCAAAAGCGGCTACCAACAATTCTGGCTGCAAAAGGAGATCCCTACGGCGTATCCTGAAATATGGGCTGTCATTCAAAAGTTCTTAATTGCATTTTCTTCATCATATTTAGTAGAACGTGGATTCAGTGCGGTAAACAATTTATTAACCAAAAAAAGAAACCGGTTGCAAATAGTCAATCGCGGTGATTTAAGATTACTGCTAGAGCCGAGGATTGCTAAATTGGTAGCAGCATACCAGGTTCATCCTTCTCATTAAGATGATTTTGAATGTTTTAACTTTTTTTGTATTACCTTTCTATTCTGAGTTCAATAAATAGTTTCATAATTTCAAACTTCAATTTGTTTCTAATTTACACCTTTCTTTACTATATTTTACAAAAAAGGTAGAAACATTAATACATATATCTTTCTGTTTAATTGCTATTAAAATTTTAAAAAATAATAATTTCCAGTGGGCGCTGAGTCATATTTTTTCTGGAAAGGGGGCAGTAGGCCAAATAAGTTTGGGAACCACTGGTGTAGGACAATGATTCTACTTTCTTTTGGATTCAGGAAGTGGTTTGTAGAGGTGTAGATCTCCGCACCAACCAAGAACAGCCTTGCAGCTCTTAACAAAGAGAGGCAGCAAGCCCTCTGTCACAGCATGGGAAGCCCAAATGCCATTCAGATCCTCCATTTCATAAAGATACACAACCAAGGGCCCTTCCATTGTCTTGCCCAGTTTGGACCATTGTGCATTCCAGAAACTGTTATTACCAACTTTGAAACATCTGATAGGCTTATTGTAAGAACATAGGCGCTCTGCCGAATAGAATCAAGGGGTAATCTAGTGTGGCATTTAGTTTCCCACCAGATATTTATTTATCTAGATGCCTTATAACGATTTCTGTGGTAAATATTTTGAACTCTACACATCTCCCTCTTCCCTCCTCTGCCCTATCATTCTTTTGTTCCCTATCTCTTAGACTGTGATCTGCTCTGTTCCAAAGCTGTTTCTCAAGAAGGGCTCTATTTTATTATCAACCAGAGCTTGGCAGAAATCTAAGCATTTAACAAGCAAGATAATGCCTCTCTCTCCCCTGCCAAATTCAAGAATCTTCTTTAGCAGCTGAAATGGATATACAGGTTTAAGATGCATGATATAGTATGCCTATCAGCACAATCTATAACTGGGTGTTTGTTATTTTTTGGTATTGAGTTTGTTGTTAATTGCTGTCGAGTCAGTTTTGAATTATGGCAGTTCTATAAATGAGAGATCTCCAAGTCACCTTGTTCCTGTCTTTCAGACTCAGGGAAGCCAAGGCTTCCTTGGTTGAGTCTATCCACTTGTAATGCAGTCTTTCTCTTTTCTTGCTTCCATCTATCTTACCAACCATTATTGTCTTTTCTAGTGAGGCATTTACCTGAAAAGTGAAATTTGAGAAAATGGGGGTCCTTTCTTGAGCAAAACACTTGAGAAATTTCAAAGACATTTCAAAAAAAGTCAGTGACATTATTTCAATTTTCCAGGTTGAGGTACTGCTGGGCAATTTGTATTTATTTTAACTATACTCAGGAGAAGAATCATGGGGTCACAGAGTTGAAAGACTTGCAAGGGCCAACTCCCTGTTATGCAGGAATACACACCTAAAGCACTCTCTGAATGATGTCCATCTGACCTTTGTTTAAATACCTCCAAAGATGAAGAGTTCCATCCTCCTCCAAACTAGTCCATTCTGCTGTTGAACAGCTCTTAAACTCAAGAATTTTTTCCTAATGTTTTGATGGAATCTCTTGTAATCGGATTCTTTTGGTCGTGTTCCAGTCTCTGGAGCATCTTGCTGCATCTTCTACTGCAATTGTTGAATATTTACAACATTTCTTACTGTCTGCAAAGAGAGGCTTCCTAGACCCATCAGGACAAGCTGCCAAGAAATTGCCAGCCTCAACAAGAATTCTTGTCTCAATGAGAAGAACACAGCAAGGGAATGCTCTCCTTTTGGTTAACATTTCTTTAATTGACGCAAAAATGTCTGCAGGAAACTACTTTCATTTTCCTTTGTGAAGTGAAGCACAAGCA